GATTCTAGTGCGGGATTGGGACAGGTTGACAAGACACCAGAGAGAATATTTTTGTAGAAGATACAAGTTGTTGCGTCCAAATATTTATGGAACAGAGGATGACCCCAAGACGTATGCACCGAGTTTTGAACCTGGAATTTGTCAGTGGATGGAGTTGGCACAAACTGGATATCAACAGTTTTTCTTCATCCGTGCTTGGGAGAATGGACGCCGCTGGGCTGAAATTCTGACAGACCATGGTATTCAATCTGCAGAACTTTCAAGTTTCTTGGATATGTGCAGAGATCCCAAATTGCTGGGTTGGAACTTTGGTATTCCAGAACCTCAGTGGGATAGTTTTGGCAACACAGTGGAGGAAGCATTTAACACTCCTTTATTTGCCAAATTGCACTATCGTTTCAAGCAGGAACAAGAGATTGGTCGTGTCATGCACCTTTTGTCTGAACTTGTTTGTGACTTTTTCATCAAGGTGCTTCCCAAGTGGGTTCTTAACCATTCGATCTTGTGGGAAGAGTTTATGATTTTGGATCCAATCACAAATCTCCCTGTTTACAAGACTTCAGAGGATGCCTTATATGCAGAAGAGGATCCAGAGAAGTATCATAAACATTTTGCTATGAACTTCAAGAAATTCCGTTTTTCTGCAAGAGTTGTGTGGTACTTGATTGACCGTGACAGGAATCATTTAGAGAGTTTTCTTCACACCTCCAACAGCAGATTTGTGCAACATGCATGCTATCAACTTCGTGAATATGTTCAAGCGCGTGTTGCAGTTTCTGATCCCTTGTATGAGATGATCAAGAAGGAAGAGTTTGAACGCCAATACAATTCCAAGTTTTTGGAGGCGATTTCTTGCTCTCGTGTTGTAGTTGAGCCTGTAAGTTCAGGGACGTTTGAGCCATCGTCGAAGCTGAACTTAAAGGTACTACAAAACATCCTGAAGGGTGTTTACAAGATCCAGAAGAATGAGGAGCGTGCCAGAGAACGTGAGGAAGAAGAAGAACAGGCAGCTCAAAACATCTCAAACTTGCTGGCAGATGATATGGAGCTTGATTTTGATGATGACAACGTGCCAGTATGGAGCTCCATTGTCAACAAGTATAGAGAAGGTGATCAGGTGTTGCGGGGAGAAGCAGTGAAGATTACTCATCTTTACAAGGATAAAAAGGACAATGAGAAGGCAACTGAGTTTTTCAGTTCAGGAAGGACAGATTTTTATGAGACCTCAGATTCTCTTCCAAGAACCAAGGAGGAAGATTTTATAGAAGACTTGCTCACCAAGGATGTTGCAGAACAAGCTTTTGAGGCAGGTGAAGAAGTTCCTCCATACACAAGAGTCTCCACTATCGCTGGTGGAATCTATACTGGTAGTATGGTGCTTGTGGAAGATGAAGATATGGAAGAGGAAGTCCCTGAAGAAGATCCTGCAGTTGAACTCGCAAAAGACGAAGAAATGTTTGATGAGAATGCAGGTGCTTTTCCTTCAGAGGAACTAAAGATGGAAGTGGACCAGGAGGAAGCCAAGGATGAGTCAGCGCCACACTTTCTGTCAAGAGAGATAGGTGAGGACTCAGCTGCATCGCACTTACCATCAGGTGAGATGGATGCTAACCTTGATGATACTCCAAGTCTGCCGAAATCTAAGAGAAGCCGCCTGAATAAAATTCCTGATCCTCATTTTCATGAAGAAGTTCAGGATGATGCAACTCTTGAGGAGAAGAAGAAGGCGGTGGAGAAGATAAGAGAGGTCAGAGAGGATGATGGAGAGAAGAAATTGGAGGCTGAAATCCAAGAATCTTTTCCATCTGAAGTAGTTGCTGATAAGGATCCAGTGGATGCTGACAATACCTATGAGTTGCATACCTCACCTTTGAGGTTGCTTGGAGAGCGTACAGGAGACCCAGGTATTGGCTTTTATCAACAATGCTTCAGGGAAACTCACGCGAGATTGTTGAACCATGTTTGTTTCAGAAAAGGTGAGCTTTCCCATCCTCACTATCAGTCAAGGATCAACGAGAACGACTTTGTTCGATCCATTCGAAAGGTCTGTCTAGTACCTCCACCTGATTGTTATGAGGACAGCAGCGAGCATGACCTGAAGAGATTTTTCATCAATGATGATCGCTTCGTTTATTTGGATGACAAGTATCAGGTCGATCCAAGGGCCCTTGAAAGGGCAGAACAAGCTCGAGCAGAATTGGAGGTTACAAAGGAACAGTTTAGAGGAGAACTGGAATCATATGGTCCCAAGGGACCCAGTTGGGACTATGTCGCCTTCTATGAAGAGCTGTGCCAAAGGTTCCTCAAAGGAAGAATGGAAGAACAATATGGAACTAATTTATTGGCCAGCTCAGAGTCCTTGACATTTTTATCCTGGAACTATGGAAACATGGTTCGTGGTCAGAAATACACCACACCAAAGTTTCTCCAAGGACTTGATCGTGCAATGAAGCCACGCAAGCAGAGTGCCATGTCACTTCAATATGAGCAATTTGAAAACAACCTTTTCTTCAACATGCTCTTCTTTTTACGTGCACATGTCGTGATTCTCCAGGAAGCTCAACTCCTTGTTCCTGCCAAGGAATTTATTGAGCAAAAGAATTGGACAGTTTGCTTCAATGATTGGGAGAATCTTGCAGTGATGGCTAGATTGGCACCAGATGGCTATATCAAGATCATTGCTGGACATGACCAAGACCTTGGTCACTGTCAACGGCGTGATGTAACTTGGGCTATCTATGAGATTTGTTTCGGAGAAACAAGGCCTCGTCAGGACTTCAAGGATGCAGACTATGAATTTGAGGACTATGGTCCTAAGGAAGAGCGTGTTCCACTTACTCGAGCGAACATGCATACCATCAGAGTCTGTAATTATCATGTTGATACACAACGTGCTGTGGATGCCCACCTACTGACAGGAGAACAGACAGCATTGATGCTTTATGAATGTTTTGTATATGAGGTGGACATCATTTCTGGTGATGCAAATAGTTTGGCCTACAGAATGTCTGGGTACAAAAGGCAGCCAATGGCTAACTATTATTACAGCACCATGCAGCATTGGATCCGCAGGTTTTCAGAAGCCCGTGTAAAAGCAGATCCTGGTATCAAAGCACCTATTCCCAGAACATTTTACAGTTCATCTTCACATGTCCTCAAGCAGTGTGAAGATTACTTTGAGAAACTCTGGGAAGAATACTCTACAGAAGAGAAAGAAGTGTACCAGGGATCAAAGCTTGGCGATACATGTTTGTCTACCATTGTTGAATGGGGTCATTCAATGAGTGGAGAGGAATATTCAAATTCCACAGTGAGCACGAAGGAGTTCGTCTGTAATTTTTCAGAGAACTTTGCTTTGATTGACACGGAGGTTATGTGCTCCAAACCCTCTGACGATGACAGTCATGGTCCAATGTTTATTTCACTCAGACCAGCTTCCTTTTCATCTGGAGACAGAAGACTTTATCGCTCGGGCGAGACTCTTCGAGATGCTAACTTGCGGAGAAAGGAGAGACAGAAAGAGAATAAAAGGAAAGGAAGGCCGCCAACTTCTGATCAAGCAGCTCCATCGACTGCAGCGGCATAAAACTCAGAGCGGAGGCTAACTTTTAATGATAGCTAGGAAGTGAAGATACTTCTGATCACAGTTGATACTTTGCTTCCAGGCTTGACTTTAAGTTGCCAGGCTGAAGTTTTAATGAATCCTGGTTTGCAACAAGGAGAAACTTTTTGTCAAAGAAGATACTCCTGCGTTCCAGATTTATACGCTTTAGCATGCAGATAAATACAGTTTCAATCGGTTATTATCTGCAGGTAGGTATGGACAGTTTTTCAGAACTGATGATAACTACCACAGCCGCTCTTTTGAAGTGACCTCTAATGGACAACCATTCATGGTTGATGATTAAGTCATTTCATAAGTTTGCATTTGTAGTGCAGTTTTGTACATACATTTGCCGGTGTCTCCTTCCTTTTTGTTTTTGATGTCAATGAGAAAGAGTCCTTTTGATGCAGTTTCATTTTGATTTAAGTCCTGTGTATGGAAGCGGCCGAGACCACTTTTCGAGAAGACCATTCCTCGGACCGAGAGTTGACGCTCCTTGCATTTTGCAAGGCATCTTAATTCATTGCAATTTGTGCGGTCTTGAGATTTTTAGTTTTTCGTTACGCGAGTGTCGTTTACTGCTTTTACAGGTCTCTGTGCAAGAAAGCCGCTTTCCCTTGAATTTAAGGTTTCTTTGAAGCTCTGGCTATTTAAGGGCTATTGAGCGCCGGTACATGGTATCTTCGCCGGTGAACGATACAGTCTCCAGCCGAGATACATTGTCTTTGACTTTGTATTTGAGGTGAGTCAGCTATTGCTCCCTCACTGTATTTAGTATACCTAGAGATTACCTTTTCTAAAGTGTGCAATACACTGGAATTGGTAAGTACAGGGCACCGTGGTTTCCTTTTTCCTCCGGGGTACGGTGCAACAGACTCACAGGTTCAAGACATCGACATCGATAGAAGAAACCAAACAAATCATGCAAGCAGCTTTGTTTTGCCTCTGGGACACCTCGTTCAACTCCTCCGTGGAGGTTTTGGGATACGGTGCAACAGATTCAACAAGCTCACAGGTTCGTGAACACATCGGATGCATCGAACAGTGTGGCAAAGTCCAGCCACGCTTCCTTAATTATCGGGGACTTCAATTCTAAGGTTGGCTGTGTCATTGCTGTTTGTGTGTCTTGCATGTTCACAACGTTTTACCTCATGAGCATTTGCCTCACTCCGCTTGATGTCCCACCAGTCCGGATGCACCCCTGCTAGCTTTCGTCACCTACCCTCGGCCTCAAGTTGGATTTTTACTTCAAACCCTCTTAACACGCCTATGGCAGGGCGAGCGAGGGAAGATTACCTTTTTCTTTGTGATGATACCATTTGATGGAAAGACTGGGGGAGCAAGTAAACTAACTTCAAAACACTGAAACAGTTAACGAACCTTGATGCCTTGGGAGGTTCATATCGAGCTGCAACGCCGAAAGCCTGCCATGGACAATTCAGCGCTGTCTTATGCCAAGAGCCAGTTGTCCTTTCAGTGGAGTAGCTGATGCACAGGTGTTCAAAGATTCAATGTGAACTTTGTATGGGGAATCCAGGTTGCGCTTTTGTGACTGGCTAGATGAGCAGATGCCTCTTGTGGTCCGCCCAAGATTGTTGTGGCCTTGCTCAGCAAGAACAATATCAAGATCCAAAATTGGCCGTAAGTAACTACCGTAGGTACACCACTTTCCGTATGTCAAGAAAAGCGGAGCATATGTGGCTCAGACCTCAGGATCCAGATTTGTCAGTGCTTCAAAGACTTTCTTTGTAGAGAAGGTTCTTTTGTTAAAAAGAAAGGACAATAAGAAGGTGTTTGGGCCCCTCAATAAAGACCCCTTTGAAATCATTTGAAGGTCCCCAAACACCTTCTTATGTTCTTTTCTTTAAGAAAGTTAGAACAATTCAGTTCAATTGAGGAGATCATAATAAATTGGACAGGGTCTTGCAATCAACGAGGACTTATCAGACAATGAAATTGGCACAGATGGCCTAGACAAACTATTTCAGGTGGGAAGCCCACAATGCAGTTGTTTTCAAGAATGCCAAAAACACTCTCGTACACACACACACAATTGCAGCTTCGAGATTTGAGAGCCGCAGATGCAGGTTCTGAGAGATCATCGAGTGCCATGCGTTGTCTTGAAGGCCTATCGCAATTCTGTCGATGCAACTCCGCTGCAGAAAGGGGCGGTATCATACTGTTGCTTGTTCCTCAAGCAGTATGAGCAATTGAGCTACAAAGCCTGGTGAAGCCAGTGGAAAAGTCACGCCTTTGATAGCCCTCAGGATTCCTTCGTGGACACCCTTGTCGAATACCTCTACACTCAGCCCGAGGCACATATTTGTGGCTGCCACACGCTTTTGAGTTCTCTTTTCACAGAACCGGAAGGCTTTTCCGATGCACGGCATCCACATCTCACACAACGATGCGCAGAACCTATTTGCCCTTCTTGATTTGGGTGCTCTGAGATGTTTTGTTGCTTGGTCTTTCCACTGAAAGCTTTTGAGTTGAGCTCCGAGTTGTGCAAACGTCCCCTTGTGTATCCCGCTTCGTCAGATCTCCGACAAGGGAGCATTTCGACTGATCCGAGCAGCTTGGGCCCTAGTTGCGTGAGGAAGAACTGCAAAAGCACATGAGAGCACTGAAGCAAAAGTTGCGTACTGTACGCACGTTACAGGCAAGCACAGGTGCTTCAACAAGGGCCAAGGTTACCATATGTTAAGTCATATTATGTTACCATGGTTCAGATGAAGCGTTGACATCGGCCTGATATAGTATTGCGTGGTACTGGACGCATATGTTGCAAGATGTTGCAAGTTCTGTTTGCTTTCCTTTTTGTCCATTCTAAAGATCGAAACGGTGTCTCTTCTTACTGCTTGCTTCAGATTCTATGATATTCATTCAACTTTGTCCTTATCTCCTCTCTGCCCTTTTGTAAGACATACGAAAGGTGGGTTTCGACAGTATAAATATAATTATATAAATATAAATATATATATATACGTACCATATGCCTTTTTTAATTGTTTGTCATACGCTGATTCCAGCCACTTTTTCCTGGAAAACCATGTGCAAAGAGAGCATATGTTAAACACGGCACTATTGGTTTTTTACAAGAACACTCAGGTCTACCAGTGAACTGAGAGCAATACAATGTTCAAAACGTACATTCCCAAATTCCTGCTGTTTGTTTTTGTTCAAAAACACTGGTATTCAGTATATAGCTAGAAAGGTTTCTACTCTACGATATTTTTTGAACATATGTGCACTTTGTTTTCACAGAGTCCAAGATTCCAAGATAGCCTAGCAAATATTCTAAGCGCTACAGTACAAATAAGGTTCTAACTGCTTGGCAAAAACGTAAGCAAGTGCAAATGGCCGGCATGCAACACTTTTGTAAAAATGATGATGAGATGGTGTCGGAATGAACGCAAACAAGCTTTGTTGCTTGTTCTTCGTTCCATAAGATGAGCAAGATGAGCTGTTCGTTGAGGGGTAAGATAGACGACGAATAGCTGGCTGGGTTTCGCGATGTTGGGCCTCTTCCCAGGCAGCACAATGTGGCCATTACCCTCGCCTAACGACGCGCTTGCCTTTGTGGTTGAGACTGGAGGAGGGAAGTCGCAAGATTTTGGCATTGGCATCTTCAAGATGCAGTCAGTGTGTGTGTGTGTGGGTGTCGCCCACAACAGGTGAACGCACTGGAAAATCCGCAGAAGGCAAGGCAAGCGGCCGAAGTCTTGAGTCTTGAGATAATAATGATAATAATGTAGGAACATTTGGGAAGTCAGTCGTGTGGGTGGGGTCTTCTTCGTGGGCATAAGTGAGGAGACGCTTTGAAGGTTGAAGGTGCGATCAAAAGGTGCAAGGTAGGTTTCAATCCCACACCACTGCCCAGTGCTAGCTGACTAACCTCTGCCCAAGTGGCAAGGTGATAAAAGATGCGAATGACGAAGGCACCGTGGGACCTCTCGGTTGCAGGGGCTTCAATATGCAGATTCATGAGTTTCCTGTCCTAGGCTTCCATGTGTGCCTAATGCAGCCGCAGCCCCTGAAACACCTATAGTTTCTGCGATCTTTTTTGCATTGTTTGTGTACGTTTCCTGCTTTGAGGGATGGGTTGTGCAGCAGAGACAACTGCGACCACTACTCGGGAGTTCATGCGATTGCCTCGGTATTCTCATCCAAACATACGTTGTTCAATTGTTCAATGTTTATGGCATGGATTTGTTCGGTGTTCTTGTCAAGGTCCAGTTGCCTTATTTTCTGAATCAGCCTGCGAAGGTGGGCTCGACCAAAGCCCAGCAGTCATCAAATTTGAGCCAGGGATATTATCTGGCCAGGGGCTTGCAAATGTTGAGCAGTTTGGCTACAGCAAGCAGCTCCGGCCCCAGACACTGGTCGAATGCCTATCCGCGCTGTGCATCCAACAAAATCTCCAATGTTTTCTACCGCTAGATCTCAGGTTGGGCCATGCTGTTGTTGGTTCCTGTTGGTTCCAGACATCAGCGGTCTAAGTTGTTTAGGTTGGCATCAAAGACATGTGTACTGGAATGGAGTCGCAAGAGAAGAAACAATAAGCTAGCATAAGCTAGCCATTTGACCACCTCCACCCGCATGGGGGCCAGAATGTGATTCTTTAAGGCGCGGCTATAAGCCGTGGCCAAGCACAAACACATTTTAGACGCACAAACAAACCGACTTTCCAAATGCCGAGAAATCCAGCCGTTACAAGGCCTTGCCACGAACCTCAACAGAACTTGTCCTTTCCTATTTCATTCCTTTTCTTTGGACCTTCAGTCCTTGCGGTCTATTTTCTTCCATTTTTCTTTCCTTCTTTCCTTTTTTTTAGATTCTGAAGAAAGGCGGATTCGTTCGTGAGCGACTGTGTACTGGCCATACCCGCATGCCGCATGAATCAAGACTTAAACACGACCTCGGAGATCCTCTAGGTCCTAGGTTGAACATTTGCTTGGTTCCGCAAATTTGGTTGTAGGCTAGGGTGCTTGTTATGCTGCTGCGGGTGAGTATAAGTTTATTTGCTGGAGCATGTGTTGCACCAGCCAGTATGAATTTGAGAAGCTTTCTTTTTTGCTTCTGAAAACCATGTTACTACAGTTGTCTCGCAATGCTTTGGTGTTTCCCGTGTTTTTACTGACTGAGGCGACCATCCGGCCCGTATGCATCGACGCAGGGTGTTCTGGCCCCTGAGGTGCATTCGAGTTGTGGTATTTCCGACAGTCTTGACATTTTGCTGATTATATTCTGGCCATTGCGGCCTTCGTTCGGAGGTTGGAGCTGAGTCTGGATCTTATACTATATATCTTGTTGCGATCGCACGCGTCAGTCGTTCTGCCGAGGCGTGGAGTTGGATTTGGTGGTTCTGGATCTTCCATCACGGGTGTGACACAGAAGGCGTTTCAGACATGAAAAGACTCTGTTGTGTTTAATTTTGCGGCCATCCAAGCAACCCGTGTGGTCAAGCCAGGCTGCTCCTCCAAGGCCCAGTTATCAAGGCACCTCGACATGCTTTCTCTTTGCTGCAAATATCGCAGCATCATTTGAGAGGTTCTTGGGACCGTGAGAACGAATGGAAAGGCCACAACAACGCCCGCGGCTCACCTTTGACAGAGATGCTTCTCGTGCTCTCTCTCTCTCTCTCTCTAGGTCTCTGAATCTATATATACACATATATTTATAATACAATATAATACATATGCATATTATGTAGGTATATGTAGATATATGTATAATTATATATGTATATATATATATACACACATAGACATGAACCTCTTACCATTGAGCTGCCATTAGAATGCACCGTGCCTTCATTACGCTGCCCCAGGCCTGGGACTGGGGCTGGGGAGGTGGGAAAGGACTGGCGGAATCGAAAAGGGTCGAAATAGATGGCTTTGTGTTGGAAGTGTCCCGCAATATCTCACAATCCTGTGCCAGTCCCCAGGACGAGGACGGTGGAATGGTGGCAAAGGTGGTGGTAGATGGCCTGGACGCGGGGGAGGCGGAGGAGGAGGCGGTTGCAGATTGTACATTTCTTTTGTGATTCATGCGAGATGCTGGGTGTTCTTCACACTTTACTTGCGGAGACTTTGTATAGTAATTAGTGCGTTAGCGGAGTATTCCAGATGCGATGTCTTTGACTCCCACTAGAGGATATGTGTAGGTTCAAGATTCACTCTAATTGGTTCGTAGGGTCGACAACGGGGATCGCGGAACCGTAAGAGGCCGCATGTGGCAGGGCAAAGCGCTTATTGCCAAGGCTAGCATTCTTGATTTCTTGTATGTTATATATTGCTTTCGTGGTGCTTCTGTTGGCTTGGCAAGTTGTGAGGTCAAGAAGGACATCAAACTTCCGGAAGGTCAAGCAGATTTGGGATTCCAATGGAGGCTGTCATGGATGAATATTATACTGTATATATATATATTATATGGACCCTCCCCCATGATCTACCTACAACTGTTTTCTGTAGGCTTGCCCACGCAAAACTACTTTTTCACCTATCAGAAATCGGTGCCCCTCAGCTGACAACCGCACATGTTCAAACAAATGCTAAACTTTTAGACACCTGCTTTTTCAAGAACACATAGACAAAACCATGCTAAGAACCTCCTATGTTGGCGATCTTGGACCAACAAAACAACAGGCAAACGCATCTTCCGGAAAATCTCGGATTGTTTTTCTGGTTGTTGTTTTTCTGCGGTGTTTTGCTTGCTCGGTATGAGCCACAAACACATATTGACAAAGAAGATACACTGGAGGCAAGGCAATAGATATATATAATAATGAGCTTCACATCCTGCTTTGGTAAAGCAAACACCAAAAACAGAAAAACAAAAAAAGACTCACTACCCCAGATTGTCAGTTTTTTTGGTTTTGGTTTCTTTGGTTTGTGTTTTCTTCGCTTTGGTCTCTACTTTATCCGAGCCTGCACACATTGTATATATTTATGTATTTCCAGCCAGCGCATCGGAAAAAGCAGGCATAGACACAGCATGGAAAATGGATTCCAGTCTGCAACCCCTTCGAGTTCATTGTGACTCCCTCGCATGTTGAATTCCCTTTCAAATTCCTAATTGTTGATGTCCTTTTAAATTCATGTTGATTCCTACCTCATTTCTGCACGTTTGCTTTGCTATTATTCTTAATAGCAACATACCCTGCAATAATGTCTACGTTTAGCATTTTCTTTTGATGTCTACATTTTTCAACATTCCTCTTTTGTTTTTGTTGATTACCTATTGAACTCCTTTTTCTTTTTTGTTGAATTTGTTCCAGTATAAGATCCGTTGGATTTCAATTGATTACCTTTTGAACTCTTTGATAAAGTTCTTTTAAATCCCTGATTAAATCTTACCAAATTACTGCAAAATTGCAAAATCTATTCAATTCCACAAAGGCTGTAGCCGCAGCCCAGTACAGAAAAGCAAAAGGAAATGTTTTGTTCCACAACCGCTGCTGTATAAACCGAGATTCAGACAGGGCTTCTCAGCTGCTTTTTTTCAACGTGTGTTTGTCGTATCATAGGACTTTACACTTTGCAAGCTGCTCTCTTTCACCTTTGGAAGATCCACCTGTCAAAAGTAAAGATCCCTGGTACCCCAAATTAGCTACATGAATATATCAGAGTCTGTGAATCTGTCTGAGTTTACATATGGGAGGGGTGTTTTGTTATTTTTTGGTGGATTGTTTGTTTTTCAGATTTTGCTTCTGCTGCGTTTTTCTTTTCCCGCGTTTCTGCTTTTGCTGCTGTTTTGCTTTTCGTTCTTTTCCCACGTGTCTGCTTTTGCCTTTTTTTATACTTTTGCCGTTTTGTTGTTTCCTTTTGGTGCTTTGCTGCTTCTTTTCTTTTCCTGCTTTTCTGCTTTGCTGCTTTTTCTGGTTTTGCCGCTTTTCTGCTTTCTTCTTTTCCTGCCTTTCTGCTTTTGGCTGCTTTTCTGCTTTTGCTGGTTTCTTGCTTTTGCTGTTTCTTTTTCTCTGCTTTTCAGCTTTTCTGCTTTTGCGGTTGTTTGTTTTCCTTGCTTTTCTGCTTTTGCTCCTTTTGGTGCTTTGCTGTGTTTTCTTTTGCTGTGTTTGTTTGCATTCGCTGCGTTTTTGCTTTGCTGTGTTTTGCTTTGCTTTTGCTACTGCTTTTTTGCTTTTGCTGCTTGTTTGCTTTTGGTGTTTTTTGGTTTTGGTGTTTGCCTTGGTTTTTGCTGTTTTGTCTTTTAACTCGGCTCGCTTGTTTTTTGTTGCTTTGGTTGCTTTGCTGCTCTTGCTGCTTTTCTGCTCTTGTTGCTTCTGTTATTTTTGTTGCTGTTTACTGTGCTGCACTTGTTGCTGTGCGGTCTACTGTGTGGTGCACTACTGCACAACTTGCACACACTCTTGTTTTATTTTTAACACAAGCACATATTAGATAGAGAAGCTTCAATACGCTTTGCGCATATGATGTATGCCATGGTTGCTTTGCGGGGTTGGTGGGAAAATACATTGAAGTACAGCACTGCTTACATGTGGTGCTTACAAGACGCATGACAGCCAACATTTAGGTCCGAGCGAGGAGCGATTCCAAGGTAGCACACCTTTGGCAGGGGCCATTCCAAGGCAGCCTTAGACCTTTTGTGAGCCAAGGAAGGTTCCAGTCCAACATAGCAGATCTTTTGTGAGCCATGCGAGGTCAAAATTTAGAAGAGGAAGGTGCCATCCCAACATAGCACACCTTTTGGTACCACCCGAGGGGAATTTTTTGAAGATGAGGGTGCCATTCCAATGTAGCAACATGCCTGTGTGCCGAAGTGAGTCGTAGCGTGGGCAAGTGGTTCATGCATGCGCACGTCGCACGTGAGTTAACCTTTGCATGTGCAAGTGAGTTGCGAACCAACCACCAAAATTGAGAGAAACAAGCCAAGACACAAACACACAGAAACATCCAGGCACGCGCCCTTCCCTCAACCTCCCTCTAGCGCCAGAAAAACACAGCATTTTTCAATGTCGGCCAAGCTTCACTGCACCGGCCACCAATGGCAAAGCTGCAAATATGCGGACTGATGTGAGGAAAACTTCATAGCACACGAGGTATAGCAAATGAAAGACCAATATCAATGACATCAGAGAGCTGAGAAGCAGGAAAAGATAGGAAAAGGATGGAAAAGGTAGATCACGGAGGGGCGAACATCTATTTTTTTTTTCGGAGTTTTGCGTGGGAAGTTTCAATGTCTCCAATGAAGCGTGCTGGATTTCCACGTCAGACATCGTCAGACCATTTATTGACATAGTTTGACTTTTCAAAGGGCATGCATTGGCATTGACGGCATTGAACGAACATCAGGTTTACAGGAGAGGGCAGACCTCCCAGAGTAACTTCAGTCTCTGGATCTTATATTGGTCAAATGGCCAAGGCCAGGGCAGAAAGAGTGCATGTTTTGCAAGTATTAGGTGGGCAGAAAAGGATGAACAGATCATGCAAGCTGTGCGGGTAACGAACAAAGAGGTGAAGAGAGAACCTGGAGAGAACAAATTGTTATTTGTTGATGCCTTAATCCACTCTTGTAAAGCATTGGACATGTTTATTCGAATTTGACCGAGTTGGACCCTCTGTTTTGTTGTTGTGTAGAGTCCGCCACTGGACTTGGCCTCAGGCAGGAGACTGCTTACTCAGAGTCAATGGCGAGGGCCTTACAGCCTTAAGGTAGCTGTATTGTTGCATGTATGGAACAACTGCAACTATATAAACTGCGCACCAGACTAGAGGCCGCAAAGCTGCCATGTGCTCCGTTGATCTCCGTTGCTGCACTCTACTTTGAGGCCTAGACATGTCGATGATGAGTGAGAAGCAAGTTACAGACCTGCTGAAGCAACGGCCTCTTGAACTCCGCTTCGGGGACGAGTGATCCTGCAAATAGGAGCAGCGCAAGTCTCACAGCCGTGGATTAGCGCCTGCCGCAACCGCCAGAAAAGGGCCTAGCGCCTCAACAAACAACGCACTGAGTCCATTTTGTTCCGGGAATTGGCTGGAGTTGAGTTGATATGGGTTGATCAATTGAGTCGATCTATCTTGCCAAGGAGGTTCTTCACAGCGTGCTTCTTCAGGTTGGTGAGGCATGCTACCGATGAGCATATAATTGAAGCGTTTTTTGAAGCTGTGCTTGGCCTCCGTTGTCCACCAAGGTCAAAGACGTCAAGGTGCAGTGCACCCGGCCACCCCAGCAAAGCTTTCTCGGGGTGACATCCGAAGGCACAGTAGATGATTTGTGATATGATATGTTTGTGATTCATGATTGAAGAGTCAATCAGATCTGATTTGCGAGTGCCTTCCTTCGGACTTCAGGCTACAGTTTCTTTGGACATCAAGAGAACGGCGGGCTTGCGAGCATGGAGTTTGCCTTTGAGGTGTAAAGAGCTGGTAAAGTGATACGAGGAGGAACGACATTGTCATATTGAGACCCAGTAGTTTGGTTGGATTCGACAGACAAGCTGATACCGTATGGCTCGCCAAACAGTGCTGTGACGGCAGTGACCAACCTTCATCTCCTTGATTTGGGTTGCCCCACACATATATGAGCCACGGTCAAAACATGCGAAGACCACTTTGGTAAAGAGGGGTAGGTTTATGCACAAAACCCTGCAAAACGATAAGGTTCACCTCAAAACCGATAACCCCAGCGCTGTATATGATCATAAGTATGCGACGAACTCAAAACATTGTAAAACGATAAGGTCCAACTTAAAACCGATGACGGCCATTTTTTGTTGAAGAAGAATAAGGAGTTTTGATCGTCCCTCATATATATTATATATATATAATTATATTATATTATATATATGCATGTTGTTGTTGTCGTCACACATGTAGATTCGTCCCCGTAGCTAAAGACGATAGGACCATTTCAGCGAGTGTTTTTTCCGCAGCTTCGGCTCACAGCCAGCGGATGTGGGGGCACTCGGTGACTTGTAATTGCACCCTGTGTACCTCACTGTACCGCTTGCACAGGTTAGTCATCGAAGGCACGCGCTACGAGGCTGACCTGTTTGTGAGCTACGCCACAGTTCGGGTTCGCAACGTGGTTGGAGAACTCGAGGATTTTCTCGAGGCACACCGGCCGGAGGCACGGGAGAGGGCGGCACCCCCTCCTCCTCTAGCAGGGACGCAAGGCAGCAGCGATCCCACAGCAGGAGGAGGTGGACCCGAACGAGAACCAGCAGCGGCAGCAACAGGTGAAGGGGCTAAGAATCCACGAGACAAAGCGGCAGACAGTCATCCAAAAAGGCCAGTTTTCACAGGTGAAAGAAAGCCAAGCACTCACAGGGACAGTAAAGAGGTTGCAGAGGAGAAGGCATCTCGTACTACGGCATCCAAGTCAGATCACAAGGACAATCCGGAGGTTGAGACTCAGGTCAAAAAGGAAGAGGAGGCTCCAGGCTACATCGACAAGGGTGCCAACGAGGAGTCCCCTGGCGTAAGGGAGGTCAACAGTCGATCTCCTAGCCGGGCTAAGAGGAGCAAAGACAAAGGAGAGGAGGAGAGTCAGACACCAAAGAAAAGGAGACATCGGCATCATCGAGATCGTTCAAGGGATAGAAAAAGGAAGAAAGACCATCGTTCATCGTCGAGCCCAGCAATCGCAGGCCCCAGTAGGCCCGAGCCACCAGTTGAGGAGGTTCGAAGGCCGAGGTCACCGTCCAGGCCTCCTCCCCACTGGAAGGGTTCAGTTCCGCCCAAGAAGAACTACCTGTCCCCCGGCCCACAAAGGCAAAGCCCAAGAACGAGGGGGCAGTCAACAAGGGCAACAAGATGCAACAAGAAGAAGGAGACCCAGAAGACATTCAAGGAGTACGTGGCCTGGCGACGGTTGGAGAAGAAGAAGGGACGCTAGATGCCTCCTAGGCCTTTGAGAAGGCCTGCAGTGCGAGGTAGGCGCCCGGCTTTGAGGAGAGGTCGAGACCCTGCGGCTCGGGATCGAGAAGAAGCAAGGGTAGAGGGCTTCGAAGGAGGAGAACAAGTGGCTGCTCACTCTCTCCCGGTGGGAGTCTTGGTACCAGGACTGAGACTCCTCGGAGAGGGGAAGTACTGGGGACGCGACATCAACCTGGCCTGTGAGGTTGAAGCTGTCCAGATCCAAGGAGGTGCGCTGGAAGTCCTTAGTCCCATCAGCGGAATGGAGGACGAGGGACTTCTACGATGGTTGAGCGGCCAGAGCAATCCGGTCGTACGACTACATCTATGCCCCCCAGACTGCGCCGGGACGCCCGAAGCAGACGATCTCATCCATGTGAGGAGGCTGCAGAGAAGGAGTGGAGCAGATCCAGGATGGGTGGACAACATGAAAGGGGCCAGCGGGATGGAGGCATTACGTCGACTGGCCGAAAGATCAGATGCCGTGGTGTGGGGGGGCGGAGGAGGCCCCTCCAAGGCCGAGGAAGGAGTGCCACAGCCAGGCGAAGTCGAGGAGGACAAGGAGAGCAGCGACAGCAGCGACGCCAAGAAGAAGAAGAAGCACAAGAAGAAGAAGAAGAAGAAGAAGAAGAAGACCTTCAAGGTGAAGGGCAAGAAAGGCTATGCCGTCCTGTTCGACGGAACGGGGCTAGACCATCTGGGCTCATTAGCCACCAGTGCAGAGTCATGGGCGGCAGCGAAGGAGAGCAGAGAGGAGATGAGGAACAAGCAGCTGCAGAGAGGATCTTGGGACACTACGACGTGGAAAGGAGGCAAGTTCGGACCGAGGGCAAAGGGAAGTTGAAGTCCAAAGACAAAGAAGGCAAGGGGAAAGGAGGAGCCTTCAAGTCTGGTGGATGTGGCGACCGCGAGGCACACCACGTGCACAATCCCAGTGTCTACGCGTCCAATGTGCTCAGCTCACTGCTACTGATGCAGTTTGACGGGAGCGATCTGACACCATGGAAATTACATACGAGTTGTGTCGGCGCCAGACTTGCGCGGCTCGCAACAATCAGACGGCGTGCGGATCTGGTCCACAAATGTGCGCAAAGGAGATATACTTCTCTTCGATGTCGGCGCTCGCGCTGGCATGATGACACGCGCCGTCTGCCGCGACGCTGCGCCCTTCATTGAATACGTGAACCTGCGTCTGACCTCTCGCGAGACATATGGAGCCATCTTCGAGCGGGAGCGGACCTGCAACTTTGCGCCAAATCGACCTGAGCGGCTCTTTGCAAATGCCTGTATGGTGGTCATGGGCCGGTGACAAAGTCACTTGCTTGTTTTAGACATGAAATGGGCTGATCGCGGGTGAAAAAGTGCTCGATTACCTTGAAAAACGAGAAAACTAGAAAACCTTGAAAAAAAACAAGCCGGTGGAAGTTAGGGAAGATATGAACTTAGGGCTAACTTATATAACTTAAGTTAACATAGTTAACGCTAACTTAGATATAACTATAGTTATAACTTCTGATCCTCCTCGTATGTCCATACTGATCAGAACCCTGCCGACAAGCCGAGTCGGCGCCCTGTTTGGAAGAAATGGCTAAAGTAAAACGTGCACACGTTGAAGGGTGCACACAGGAGGAAAGGAAAAGGAGAAGAGCCAAATTAGGAAGCTTGCAGTCGTTAACAGTTCAACCAAAAACACGTGAACGCTATGAGCGTGCGTTGGAACAGTTCTGGTCTTTTCTACGCGCCGAAGGTTTGCGCTTTCCTTCAGGAACCCATGAGTTGGATCGACTTCTTTGCACTTATGTAGAGCACTTGTGGAGCGAAGGCTTTGGACGCCCTCTCGCTGCTGATACGGTTGCTGGAATACAAGACGCTCAACCCAATGTGCACAAACAACTCCCGGCCACATGGCGCCTTTTGAAAGCATGGAGTGTCAATGAGGTGCCGTCTCGAGCTCCGCCTATGCCGGAGGAAGCCCTTCAAGCCATGGTTGGTTATGCTATTTTTAAGCATGAATACCAGTTCGCAATTTCTCTCCTCGTGGGATATTTTGGCGTCCTGCGAGCGGGAGAGATCTTGGGCCTGAACACCAGCCATATATCCGTCTGACTCAGAGCGAGGACCCGCAGTGATATCGCTTGGGCTCACCAAAGGTGGCCAGCGACAAGGAGCTGCCGAAAGCGTAGCTCTGACTGCAGAACAACCAATTCGTTGGCTTTGGAAGTGGACTAGAGACTGTCCACAACATCACCCTTTATGTTCATCCCCTGCTCATTGGCGCAAGCAGTTCAATGACACGTTAAAAGCAGTTGGCTTTGAGACCCTAGACTTTCGCCCGTACTCGCTTCGAAGAGGCGGGGCTACTTATTGGTTAAAAAGTGGGGCACTCTAGACCGATTACTTTTGTACGGTCGTTGGCAAAATGCCAAAACTGCCAGAACGTACATTAATGACGGATTGTCAGTACTGGCTAGTATGCAGCTTAGATGGACCCCCTCTACTCGTCAGTTTCGCCGACTTTTTCAGAATTCACGTAAAGACCCACTGCCTCCGTTTGAGCCCGCTCCTAAGAGCAGGACAGGGGCGGTGGAAGGAAGGTGAAGAGCAAGAGAAAGTCGAGGAAAATGTGTCTCCTGAGAGATTTCTGAGAGCCTGTGGATTTTGTCTAGGAGAAGTTTCTCCGTGTTTTCTTAAACAATAATGGATTGTGAGCTTTTGTTTTTTCTCCGGTTTGGCGGAGAAACAAGAGGCAGTCCATACAGACCCCTGAGCTGGGATCCTGCCAGGAATGGCGGCAGTTTTCCCGGGGGGTCCCCCCGGGTAACCAGTTTTCCTGCTTAGTTTTTTCAATTTCTCACAAACTCGACCTTGCAAAGCAAAACAGAGCGTGAGGGACTGAGTCTTTATATATATATATATACATGTATAAAGAGAGTGGGACGCACATTTCTACCACTTTGTTTTATGAATTTGTATGTTGTACAACAAACTAATATCAACAAATATGTTTAATTCCTTAAATATACAGATCTCAAAGGCAATCTCTCAAAATAAATCTGATTGAGACGTCTGATTCTTGAGCACTCTGTATCAGTTTGGCCGTACTTCTTCCTGCGATACCAACTGCCTTTCAAACGAAACCTTCCGGCAATTTCTACAATGGTGTGTCCATTAATCCCCCAATTCATTCGGCTCAACTTATTCACAAAAATGTCGCGCAATATTAACATTAACTGGCTCTCTTATCTTTCTTCACTCTCTTACAAATTCCACCAATCACTCAACCTATGGCCTTGTTGCTAACTCATTACTTCTTCCCCTTCTTGAACTACAATGGGTCATCCTTTGAGCAAGTTGCCCGACTCATTGGATAGGGCATCCTCATGTTCCAGCCAATGGTGTTGCATATTTCGTTCCCATTTGGCCAGCCACTGCAATCTTTCTTTCCAATCTATTCCCTTCCTTCCTCATCATCCAATACCCTGTGAGCGCTTATTCTGGGCGCTCATAAGACAACCTTACGGGCCAATTCTTCCAGCTTATTTAGCTCAGTGCCCTTCTCCAACCTCCTCTTGGCAATCTTTGCGATCTTGATCCTCTCATCTTGCAGCTTTTGGGCTGCCTTCAGGGTCTTATCATCATGCTCCTTCATTTTGCTTCGTCCCAGCTTCTTTTGCATTTTGCAATGCTTTGGCTAATTTGTTCAATCTTGTCAGCCAATTCTTGCTGACCTCCAATGCCACCACCTCCTCCGCTGTCATGTATGATGCGACAAAGCCACATTAAATATTCAATTGCTCCCTATCCCTTGCCTAGTGGTAACATTCTTCCTGTTGGGTGATGGGAATTGAGCATGGACTCACCTATAATAATATGTGTCAGTCCCTATTGTAGCACATCGTCGCTGATCTGCAAGTCTCAGATTCCTAACTTTAAATAGCATAATAAAGTCTGTGCTGTCCATTGATCTGCAGCAACAAATGGATATATCCAGCACCTTCTTTGCATCGGCCAATATCATCGATCTCCCCACCATGCTGATCGCAAGAGAGTCCAAGTTGTCAATGCCAGGTATTCCGGCATACCCCATTAACCCCAATGAACCCTGAAATGGACCAATTTGCTTGTGATTTGCTGCCATTTGAATGCAAAGCCACCCGCCAAGACTATGGTCTGATCTCCCACCCCATCAGCCTTCATTGATCACTTCATTCTCAGCATTTCCATTTGCTAATGCCAACTCATCAGGCCTCGCTCGCAATAGCTCATGCTTCTGAGGCCATCTCCATGTTTTTTTTCTTCACCCTGCATTTTGGCCAAAATACGTCCGAGTTCAACAGCACCTCCCAGCCTCCGGCACCACCGGGACCGGCTCGTTAAAGGGGCAAGTAGTAGAATTCTTGCTCCTAGTAGTAAGGCCAGGAGCCCCTAGTAGCGTCCTTGCTCCTAGTAGCGATGCCCTTTGCCCCTAGTAGCTGCATACTCATTCTTTACACATTTAGGTGCCAAACTTTGTCGTTTTCCCCCGAAAGAGCTCCGCACCTCAGTCTCTACACTAAACACCTCACCTTGACACCTATACATGCTGCCTGCCTGCCCATTTGCCCCGCATAATGGTGCACACCCCATAGCTGGGCCTAATTAAATGCTCATGAACTTATATAAATCGTTTCCCTCATGAAATTGAACAATTAATAATATATGAACCTTTTTGCATTTTCTTCTCAACCAAAGGCTCATAGGAAGCGAATTTTATTGTTTTATGTTCAACGGTTCAACCGAATGTTCATCTTTTCATTCTTGCCTTTGATCGCGAAGATTGCTGCACGCGGAGTTTAAGTAATTAGACATATGTTTAGATTTAACTTATATAAGTCGCCCTTACTTAACTGAGTAGCCCTTACGTAGCTAAGTGGCCCTGGCCCGCTCGAACAGGGGTCGCCCCCACCCCCTAAATGATCACCCGATCACCCTTTCCCACGCAAAATTGAATTCGACCTCCTTTTGTGGAATTGTCTTTAAGAATCCGTTCTTTTAGTAGACATTCTTTAAACTTCTTGCTTAGATATTTTTAAACAAATAATGCAACTCTTGAATAGCGTGTTGAACATTATTTAACAATTTTGGACGTGTTCAACAACATTCCAACATGTGAGTTTTTGAACACATGGAAAAACCGAGGCCTCCAGAGCGTCCTTTTCTGTATATACACAACACTGTTCTTGGGTTCTTTGAAGGCCACATGAGAACATATTGCACATGCTATTTCCCTCTGTTTGTCTGAATCACTCCCTTTTTGCGGAATGTTTGCTCTGTCATTCGATGTTCCTGGCAAACGCGCTACCACCACAACCACAAGAACAACACTACCACCAGCAGCAGCAGCAACAACAACTGCTGCTGCTGCTGCTGCTGCTAATTAGCACTACCACTACCACTACGACGACTACTGCTTCCGCTACTCCACCACCACCACCACCACCAACACCACCACCAGCAGCAGCAGCAGGAAGTGTTGCTGTTCCGTGTTTGTAAACATTGTCTTCTTATGGTGCCTGAATCTTGGCAGCGTCATATCCAAGGTTGCGAGATGTTGCGAGAGTTTGTCTCCAATGTTGTCTTCCTTGAACGATGCCCACATGCTTAAGTTCCAGGAATTTGAAGATGACATGTTTCTGCCTGAACACGCTTCAGCTGCAGGTAGAAAGGCCATATGAGAGTCCATATGCTGCCAAGAAACCCACGCACACAATTGACGCACTGGTGAAGAGCAAAGATAATAGCAATATACTTGAAACAGGCAGAAGAGGCAGGCTCAATTCGGGGCACTAGTACTATATATAGAGATCAAAGTGAATCAACGTGATCCAGTGCAAAGTGGGGGCAGGCCTTCGTCATCTAATAAGAATGACAGGCTGTTTGAGTCAAGTTCTCCATGTTCGGCATCCTCCGAGTGCCAGGAAGTTCTTATCCGTCATTTGAAGAGTCGATATCTCGACCTGAAGTCTGCTTCTGCTTTTGAGCCCATTTGCAGTAATCATTGACGCACACGATGAACTAAAGAAAAAACAACTACATAAGTATCACTGGTGCATATATGTTTGCATTTTGTGGAATAACAACAAACCAGTTCTCAAAGTACAGGAACTTGGCCTTTGTTTGTAAACACGTTACGCATTTGGTCTTCTGTCAAGCTTCACGTCGCAAGCCCCTCCTTTGAACTTTATGTGCCCTAGACACCGCTTGAGTGGTGCAGACATGACAGGTGATGGCTTCAGATCCCAATGACTTAGAGCCGCTTCAAGAGACTCTTATGCTTGAGGTGGACTTATTGAACACTGTCAGAAGTTCTGTGTTGAAAGTGTTTTAGAATGAACGATTTATTGATAACATGTACTGTAGATATTTAAACTATCCAACAAATTGAAAGATTTGTGTCGACTGGATCACATCGGTGCAGGCTGCGTGTGGCGGAGCTCGCCACTTATGGCCGATGTTGGCTGAGCAGGAAGCAACTGTGACGCCGTGTTCATGCCATAGTCATAATTGCAGTCTCTTTGCAAATTGGTGGCATCTCTGTGAAGATCCCTTGACTGGAGTGTTCCAGTGCTTTATGGTGAATATTCCAGCATGAATCTCTATAACATGCATAAAATACACGCAATTATGGTTTTTGCTTTGCGGCCAGCTTTGTTCCGACAACCTGCCAACGCCCCGCCACCTAAAGGCATGGATGTTTCAATGTTTAGTGTTTGTTTGTTTGCTTGCTTGTTTGCTTGTTTGTTTGTGTTAAAACACGTTTGGTCAGGTGCGCATCGAGGTTTTCACTGAGTGAGATGACAGCAGACACTTCCTGTACAGCAACGACTTGGTGTCAGCTCATGAAAAAAAGCTTGTGTGCTTGTCAAGCCAGTGGCTGGCTGAATGATTCAAGTTTTTGTTGAATAGAAATGGATCAGACACTGGACATGTTCTCCCGAGATAAACAGCAATCACGCAGCAATAGCTGGTGTACCAAAGTTCAGCGAAATCCATCAAGCGACGTCATGCGTAGGACAGAAAGTCAGCAGCACAACCCATTCTGATGGGGGCCCACTGATTGTGGGGTATGAACTCGAAGCACATCAGACATTTGTCTGGCAGCCCTTATATAATATGACATCATGTTCGCGTTCCTGTCATTCGTTTCGGACCATCAGACTGCACCTCGCAGCTTTTTCAGAGGATAGGCTTGAAGTGTTCCGCAGTTGGACATTTTCCAAGTTACTGTGCGGCCAGAACTACAAAACAGACGGCTGCCAACCAGGTGAACAGGCAGCTGTTGCATGTCCAATCTTCAATGTTAGAAATTACACGACCGAAGCTCAACAAATGCTCAGGACGCTTTATACACTGTGGCAAACTTTGTTTCTGAATGTTTGGTCACCGTGACAATTGGTTCTTTAAGCTCACCCCAATTCATGAAATCTTGAAATGCTGAATGTGTGCAGCATCCCTCCAGCGGCTTCAGAGAGTTGCAGCTCGTCTTTTTTTCAAGCAAAAGGGCTGTCGGAAGAGGGAGAGAGAGGCAGAGGAGGAGATGGAAGCAAAGATGTACAAGAGATTCAAGAGATCCATGTAATCTTTCTTCACCAAGGCCACGTTGGCACAAGAGCTGCAGCGTGCCAGCACAGAAGATCACTTTCAATCCACAATCCTTGTGTTTCATTGGGGCTGTAGACACTATAGCCGATCATTGGCATCTCTCCGATGCCCCTTCTTCCTTTTTGCTTTTGAAGTTCTTTCAAGGCAGCACTCCATTAAATCTTGCTCAACCTGCGCTGTGAACCGCGGAAGTTTCTTGGCCAAAGAGGTACAAGGTCTTCACAGTCTTCAGACACACTTTTCGTGTTTGAGGCCTTTTCCGCTCGCCGCCGAGATCGAGTCCAGGCTTCACAAATGGATGTGGGCGATGTGAGTCACGCTTTCTTGGCTTTCTCGTTGAGACTGAAATCTGCCTTACCGCTCGTAGCTAGGTCGATGGGTTACGTCGCCTGCTCCTTCATTTCCTTCTCGGGTCCGGACGATGCTAGGTTCCTGGTTTTGTGGGAGGAGACACACGTGTGCTCGATGTATACACATTAACACAACATGGTATGCGTGTACAGTATGAGTGCAAACGCGTTTTAGAACACTGATGGATAGCCCAAGCTCAGGCCGTAAGTCGGCTGAGGTCCGTGCAGTCTACAAATGACTCTGAATTTGCGAGAAGCTGAGGAAGTGAACAGCTGATGAATGGACCATAATTATCACATTGAACACATCGAGCTTTGTACCAAACCGAACATGTGAACTTCGAGCTATACTTTTCAGATAAAAGTGTCAAAGTCTTCGCATGTGCCATCCTTTTGTGTAATTTCCAGCATGACTTGATTCAACTTGCACAAATGTTGAGAGTCACACGTGTCAATCACAGAACTGAGAGTCACCGTCAGGTGACTCAAATGCCTTTCAGGTGATGGAGTCCATAGAACTCCCTGCTGGAGCGCCGCCAGTAGGTGAGGGACATGATCCACTAGTTGACCTTATGTTGATGCAAAGTGGTGCAATGTATTTGGGAACAACACACATATGCAATCATGCCTTAATAAGTGTCAACTGCCAACTGCATTTCAGGCGATGTGTCAAAAGAGGCTGGAATGGAGGAGACTTTACGTGAGACTTGATTTGCAGTCGATTTGGTCCCATTTTTCTGGGCCTTGAGAAGTTCTTTGCGATCCGTTTTCGGGCCTGCTTCAAAGATCCGAAAGGAGCTTTTGCGTGCTGCCCGTGGCGGAGGAGGCAGGTGTTGACTCAGCCGTGTAGCAGCTTGAGCCTCCTACTTAGACACACTTAGACGCCTGGGTCAAGTAATGCGAGGGATAGGCTTGCAAAAAAAGGAAAGAGTTAGTAGCAGAAGACTTGATGCAAGATGATGCAAGGAGGGGTCCGAGTCTCTCGCCGCTGCAATGGATGTGGTGCCTGGCTGCATTCCAATGCCGGGGGCTTGCTAGTGTTTTTGTAAGAGCATAGAGTGCCTCGAGCCAGCGTTCTTCACTCCACCATCCATTCCCAGAATCCGGACGAGCATGGCTATGCAGCTGCCTCAGCTTCTTTCATGCACTCACGGCAACTACACAATTCCGATTCTGTTTGGTCGTTGCCTGTCGTCGAGTCGTGGCAAAGACACGGCTGTGAAATTCGCCAGCTCAGCTGCATCAAACAACCATGAAAAACACCAAAGCATAACAATGCAATATATTGGAACTGCGGGTGACCACGTGTTGCACTTTGTCCAGCCACTACTCCAAACTCCGAGGCAAGAGGCCTAGATCAAGCTTATTTCAAGGGACAGCTCGCTTCATGGGGAGTAACGGGTTCCACAGGATGAGAAGGGCACAGAGATCACTTGGATGCAAGTCAATCAACATGCAGATTACGACTAGGTCCCTGAAGAAGCAAGGGAAAAATTCTCCTTAACGGGTCCAAGGCCGAGATTTCTCAGTTGTGCCGCATTGTGTCACTTTGTATTGTAGATCGAAGGATGTACAGTGATGACTTCTGCCCTAGGTCGCAAAAAGGACAGCGCCGCTCCAAAAGGTGTGCCAGTCGACTCAGTGCCAGACGGAGTAGAGGCACGTCGGAATCAGACACTGGAGCAGTGCAAGTTGCCATGGCAACTCCCACTGCAGCCTTGTTCATGGATTTCATGGTCCAGATACGTTAGGGCCCCGTTTTTTTTCACCCTTGAATAATGTTTTTTTCACCATCCCTTTCTTTCCCACCCTCGAAACATTTTTTTTTCACCCTTAAGATTCCTTTTTTCCCCACCCTTCTTTGGAACCTTTTCTTTCCACCCTTCCAAAACCTTCTATTTTCACCCTGCACCCTGTCATTTTCACCCTGTAGCATGTTTCTTTCACCCTTCACCTCGTTGTTCTTCACCCTTCACCCTTTCTTTTTCACCCTCGACCCTTTCTTTTCAACCCTCCGCCGGTGAAGCAGGTAACCCCTGGAACCTGCACAGAGAACGATGTCACCTCCGGTTTGTTTCTGTTGGTCAGGCATGGTCCAGTGCCCAGGGTTACCCAAACACTTTTCAGCTTCTCTTGGTCTTGACCCGGTGTCACGGGCTTGATGGAGTGTGTCAACTCCATTCGAGAAAAGGGCTGCAGCGAACCCTTCAAGTTCAAAAGTGTTGAAATTCACCTCATCCCCATGGACCCCGTAGCGTTGACTCTCAAGGTAGAGCAAAAGGTAGCGCTTACCGGACTAGCAGGGTTAGCTAGGTAGTTAGTACTATTAGAGCTGATCCTGTAAAATACAGGTTATCAGCCGTAGGCTAGCTAGATTAGAGCTATGGACCCGATGGATGACGACGTCCCACCAAACTCCTACGGAAGTGGCTTTGACATAGTTCCGAGTGTGCCCAATAGTTTGGATGCAGTTCAACGGCATGAACAAGCGGTTGCACAAGTGGCTGCAATGGATCCAAGGGTTGCTTCGGAGGTGTACCAAGAGATGCTAAATAGTGGTGGTAGTGTTACTCTTCAAGAGGCGACACAAGCTACCCTAGCAGGTATGCCGTCAGCCACCGTAGCTGGTGCGCCAACAGTAAACAACTTGTTGGCAATGACTCGGCTCAACGTCGTCAACCTGAATGCAACGCCAAACGACGAAGAACTACGACGGGAGTTACAACAACATGAGTTTTTGCTCAGCGAACAAGCCAGGAGGGAAGCTGAAATCGAGGCATTGCGCTTCAGGAGTATTTACGAAAGAGAAGCTTCCGAATCTATAGCGGCAACAAAGGCTGCCGCAGAGCAGGCAATGTTGAATGTTCAACAAAGGGCCCAACAGCAGGAACAAAGTGTTCAGCAAATGGTCCAACAGCAAGACAATGTTGCAATCAAACGGTTGCAAGGTACATTGGAGGAGCAAAGGGAACATTTTCAGCAGCGGCTAGCTCAGGCGACAGCAGCTCATGAGAAAGTTGTACAGGAAAAGAATGCCATGGCGGAAGAAGGCAATGCTTTTGTTGACAAAATGAGAACTGAACATCACCAGTATGTTGAGCAACAGGAGGCTAAGCTGAAGGCAGCTCTAGAGGCAAAGGATCAGGCAAGACATTCGTCTGCTGAAGAATCCCGGATCGCCATAGAGCTTGACTTCAAGCGAGAACAACTGGACAGTTCGTTAGCAATTGCACAGGCAAAGATCAAAACTCTTGTCAATGAGATGGAGACAACAAATAAGCAATATAAGGTTGATCGGGAAACGCAAGAGCAAACTATAGTTGAGCTTCGCAAGGACAATGCAATGTTGAAGGGTGAAATGGACGAGCTCAGACGTGTTGTACAGTCCTTGACAGACAGGGAAGAGGAACGCAAGGAAGCGGAGCGCAAGGCGCAATCCTCTAGCCCCGTTAAGCCAGGGCCGCAATATCCTGAGCCACTTACACCTTCTGCTCGGCAAGACGCTCACCCAATTGGTCAACCGCGATCTTTTGAACCTCTACGCACGGAAGGCACTGTTCCAGCAACCTTAGACGGTAAGCCCCGTGAGGAAGGCGGATCCCCTATAAAGACGGCTATGGATGCAACAGCGTCCACGCGCAACACTGGATTCCCATCAATGTTCTCAGGGACAGGGGCGCCCGCAGCGGAACAGGCAACGGCCTCTACGGACAGGCAACAATTCAAACAACCGGATCCGTGGACGGAGTACATGAAGAAGTCAGCGCAATATAACTTCAGTGATGATCCTTTGTACAAAAGCTCCTTTAATCAGGAAGCAACAAAGACTAAGGATGATCGCAAGGACGAAGGGCCGGCTTCTCAGGTAAGAACTCCACAAGACCAAGATTTGGGGGAAATCATCAAGAAGGCCTTGCTAGAAGGGTTTAAGGGCGCTAAGAGCAAAGACTCTGACAAACCCAAGGCAAAGGAGGCTGATAAGATAGATCTTCCCGAATTCCCAAGTCCTGATAGGTACCGCACTTGGAGGGCCGCTGTTCGCGAAGCGATACGGTCCGCGTCCGATGACCCAGACGCTGCGTTCGCATGGGTGCTTGAGGTGTACGCTGTTCGTGAAGACAAAGCCAAGCTTTGTTCCGAATTGGCTGACCCAGGCAAGTTTCGGACCTTAGACACGAAACTACTTGCTGCTTTAACTAAGGTTGCCAAAGGTGAACTGTCTCAGCAGATCCTTAATTATAAGGAATCTGAGGCACAGCAAGGTAGGATCGTCCGTGGTCGTCAGGTGTTGCTCATGTTTGAAGTCCACTTCAAGACCAGTGAAGAAGCGGGTGCACTGTATGGCACTGAGGACCTCCTCAAGATCTCGCTTGATAGCGACGACTTGAAATCCTTTCTAAGAAAATGGGAGAGTGTTCTGACCGGAATGAGTCATGTCCCAGACCCGGCAACTCTCAAGGATTTGTTTTATAGAGAGGTTAGGAAGTCCCGCAAGCTCAGATTTGACCTTGATGTTTATGAACGAGCGCCGGAGGGAAGTAACGACAGAAGCTATGAATTTCTTATCAATTCTGTTCGACGTTACCTTGACAGGGAAAGGCTCAGGACCAATCGCGAAAAGATATCACAATCACACGCGGCAAAGTTCGCAAACCCGGCACCGCACGACAAGCGCACGCGAAGCCCAAGTTATGGCAAACGAAGCACAAAGGGTGACGGAAGCAATCAATGCTATGAGTATGCCAAAACTGGTAAGTGTAAGTACGGGAGCAAATGCAAGTACTCACACGACTCTAGCGCCCGTCCCCGCTCCCTTAGTCGGGAGTCGTCTCGTTCGCGTAGCGCAAGTCCGAGCAGCCGTTCATCGTTCAGGTCAAGCCGATCTCGAAGTTCGTCAAGACACACTTCCCGCTCCAGTTCAAGGAACTCATCAAGAAGCTCCAGTAGAGGGAGGAAATCTGACAAGCCATGCAGGTTCTTTGCAAAGGGTAACTGCAAAAGGGGTGACAAATGCCCGTTTAAACACGGAGACACTGCAACACCAGCCCCGCGCAGAAGGAGTCCCTCGCCCGCAGCTAAAAGGTCTAAGGACAAGAAATCCAAGAAGGACAAAAAGGACATAAAGAGCAAACGGGAAAAGAAGGACAAAAGTCCAAAGGCCAGTCCATGTATTCAAACAGGTTTCGCAATGTCTTGCTCAGCAGCAACCGCAACTCGGACCCAAAAGAGTAAAGACTACTGGGAATTCTCCAAAGATGGCAATGAGTTGATTAGGCACCATTTGAAGCCTAGGCACAGGTCGTTTCTCCCAACACGTAAATCCTGTCCAGTTGAGTCATCTAGGTTGGAAGACCAGTTTACCATGGTAGTCACTGACTCAAAGGGAAAGAGTAGGACAATCAAGGGTAATTGGAAGAAACACCCAAACGCGAAACAGAAATTTGATTGGACTGGAAAGTCAATTTTCCGTGTTGTGCAAGAGAAGAGAATTCGTTTTGAATTAGAACCGGAGGTACACACCTTTCCTGTTTGGAAGGAAATGTACCGGCATGTAGTGAATAAGAGCAAGAAGCGGAACCTGTTCCGGACCACTGAGGAATGCCCAAAGTCCCGCGAGTGTGACACTAAGGACGCCATTTTGGCAGCGGAGTCACTTAGGCAGATGCTCGTTTCGATGGATACCGAGGAGCCTGCGTGTGATTTCCTTTGTGAACATTCCCCAGAAGGCCCCGATGATTTGCGCTGCACGAAGTGCAGAACAGTCGTCGGAGAACAGGTGCCGTCATGTGCTCGCTTAACAGCGATGCCAAACATGGTTGGTATGGAGAAGTGGCTGGGTGACACTGGCACTGACCAGGACATCGTAGGTAAGGACTCTAAGACAGTCAACAGGGCCACCAAGATATTCAAATCCAACGAACCAATCTCCCTTACTACTGCCAATGGACCTATCACTGCTGACGAAGTAGTAGAGGTGATCTTGCCAGGGTTATGTGAATCCTTCAACCCCTACATTCTCCAAAGTACTCCCTCTGCACTTTCAATTGGTTTGAGGTGCTTAGAACAGGGATATGATTTTGTTTGGGGAAAGGACAGTACTCCCATATTTCTTCGACCTGATGGACAATGCGTTAAATTCAAATTGCAAGGTAGGGTTCCATATATTGATGAAACATGTACCCCATTCTCAATTCCTGAATCACTGAGGACTCGCCTTACTAAGGTACTCGATTCCATCCACCAGTTCACCATCGACCAGGGCTACGCCATGGCCAGCCATGAGTCCGAACCCGAGGAAGACCAAGAGGAGGCTGACGAAGCTGGCGTAGATGCCAATGCCGATGATGGACAGGAGGACGAAGAGGACAGTGACCCAGAAGTTGAGGTTCCTTTTGATTTTGAAGACGTTCCCGTAGCAGGGGAGAAGACCGAAGAGCAACTTCGAAAGGAAGCAAAATCAGGGGCGCATCAATTCACACATCGACCAAAGAATCCCTACTGCGATGTTTGTAGCGAAGCTAAAATGCTTGCTCCCTACGGTAGAAGCGTAGGCGGATCACAACATGTTTTGGCGCGTGGGTTTGGCGACCACATAGTGTGCGACCATGTTATTCCCAAGGATATTGAAGAAGGGAAAGAAGGCCAAACGTCAATGTTGG